CCGTGGGTGCCCAGAGCACCCATAGCATCCATAGCACCCATAGAGTATCCCATAGAACCCATAACGCCCATAGGGTGCCCCATAGCACTCATAGCATCCATAGCACCCATAGAGTATCCCATAGAGCCCATAACGCCCATAGGGCTCCCCAGCACCCATGGGTGCCCTCATAGCACCCCTTCTCCCGCCCTGCAGACAGCGCCCGTGGGTGCCCAGAGCACCCATAGCATCCATAGCACCCATAGAGTACCCCATAGAACCCATAGCACCCATAGGGCTCCCCAGCACCCATGGGTGCCCCCATAGCACCCATAGGGTCCCCCATAGCACCCATAGCATCCATAGCACCCATAGAGTATCCCATAGAACCCATAACGCCCATAGTGCTCCCCAGCACCCATGGGTGCCCTCATAGCACCCCTTCTCCCACCCTGCAGACAGCACCCATGGGCACCCCACCCATAGCACCCCATAGGGTACCCCCAGACACCCCTCAGGTACCCATCGGTACCCATAGGGTGCCCCTGGGAGCCCCATATCCCATTGAGTGCCCGTAGCCCTATGGTTCCCATCACTCCCATTGCTCCCATTGACCTCCATCACCCCCACTGCCCCATCACCCCCATTCCCCCATCACCCCCATTCCCCCATCACCCCCATTCCCCCACCCCCATCACCCCATCACCCCCATCACCCCCATTCCCCCATCACCCCCATCCCCCATTGACCCCCATCACCCCCATTGACCCCCATCACCCCCATCACCCCCATCACCCCCATCACCCCCATTGACCCCCATCACCCCCATTCCCCCATCACCCCCATCACCCCATCACCCCCATTCTCCCATTGACTCCCGTTGCCCCCCTTGCTCCCATTGACCCCCATGACCCCGTCACCCCCATCACCCCCATTCCCCCATTGACCCCCATGACCCCCATTCCCCCATTGCCCCCCATCACCCCCATCGCCCCCCGTCGCTCCCCACGTACCGGCGAAGAAGCAGACCCTCCAGAGCCCCGCGTGCAGCGCCATCCGCACCTCGGTGCTCTGGTTCTGGGGCAGCACCACCCCCTCCTCCATGTAGAGCCAATGGTCGGTGCTCACCGCGATGCCCACCAGCAGCAGCCCGCAGGCCCCGAACACGCTGCTCAGCAGCGTCAGCGCCCGGCTGCTGCACGAGCTCATCCTGGCCCTACGGGGCGATCGAGGGCTATGGGGGCTATAGGGGGGGTGGGGGGGGTATGTGGGGGGTATGGGGGGGGTGTGGGGGGTATGGGGGGTGTGGGGGGTATAGGGGGTGTGGGGGGTATAGGGGGTATGGGGGGTATAGGGGGTATGGGGGGTATGGGGGGTATAGGGGGTATAGGGGGTATGGGGGCTATAGGGGGTATGGGGGTATAGGGGGTTATAAGGGGTATGGGGATTATAGGGAGTATAGCAGGTATACGGGGTGTAGCGGGTATAGGGGGGTATAAGGGGTATGGGGGTTATAGGGAGTATAGCAGGTATATGGGGTATAGCGGGTATAGGGGGTATAAGGGGTATGGGGGGTATAGGGGGGGTATAGGGGGTATAGCAGGTATAGGGGATATATGGGGTATAGGAGGCATGGGGGGTATAGGAGTTATAGAGGTATGGGGGGGTATATGGGCTGTAGGGGCCTATAGTGGTATAGGGGGTTATAGGGGCTCCAGGAGCTATAGGTGTTATAGCGGGGGAAAGGGGCTATAGAGGGTTATGAGAGTATAGGGGCTATAGGAGGTGAAGGGGGTATAAGGAGTAGAGGGGGTTATGGGAGACACAGGGGCTATAGGGAGTATAGAGGCTATAGTGGTTAAAGAGGCTATAAGGGCTAGGGGGGTATTGGGGGTTATAAGGGTGTAGGGGCTATAAGGGCTATAAGGCGTAGGTACAGTGGCTATAGGGAGTATAAGGGGTGTAGGGGGGTATGGGGGGGTGAGGGTATATGGAGCATGAAGGGTATAGGGGCTATAGGGAGCATAGGGCCTTCAGGGGCTCTAGGGGCTATACAAGGCATTTGGGCTATAGGGGGTATAGGGACTCCAGGGGCTATAGGGGGATACGGGGGGCAGCAGCCCACAGGCCCCGAACACCCTGCTCAGGAGCATCAGCACCCGGCTGCTGCCTGAGCTCATCCTGACCCTATGGAGGGTATAGGGGGTACAGAGGCTATAGGGTGTATAGGGGCTATAGGGGGTAGAGAAGCTATAGGGGGTAGAGAGGCTATAGGGGGCAATGGGGTCTATAGGGGTATGGGGCGATAGAGGGAATGGGGGGTAGAGGGGCATCATGGGGGCTATGGGGACTATGGGGGTCAGGAGGGGTCAGGGGGGGTCAAGGGAGGTCATGGAGGAGTTGGGGGTCAGCAGGGTCCATGGGCATTCGGGGGGGAGGGGGATGGGGCAATGGGGTGGCCATGGGGCGTCAAGGGGCTTATGAGGGCCATAGGGGGCAAAAGGGGACAGGAGTCCCTATGGGAGCACCCCCCCAGGAGCACGCATGTGCAGCGACCCCGCCATGGGACATCGCATGTGGGACACGCGTGACCCTGCACACGTGTGACCCCGCACATACATGACCCCATACATGCATGACCATGCACACGTATGACCCTGCACACCCATGACCCCACTCACGTATGATCCCGTACACGTATGACCCCATGTATGTATGACCCCGCACACACATGACCCCGCACACACATGTGACCTGGCACACACATGACCCCGCACACACATGACCCCGCACACACATGCGACCCCGCACACACATGTGACCCGGCACACACATGTGACCCGGCACACACATGACCCCGCACACACACATGACCCCGCACACACGTGACCCCGCACACGCGTGACCCCGCACACACATGACCCCGCACACACGTGACCCCGCACACACGTGACCCCGCACACGCGTGCCCTCACCCGCTTCACGCCGTGGCCGGCTGCCGTGTCCCCGAGGCCCCGGGCGCCATGGGAGCGGGAAGGGCAGCGGGGACGGACACGGGGGGGGGGGATCGATGGATGGGGGGGGGGAAGGACAGACGGACACGGGGGGGGATGAAGGACGCGATGGGGGATGCGGGATGGAGAGAGGAGGAGGCAGGGATGAAGGGCAGAGGGAGGCAGGGATGTGGGACAGAGGGGGGGATGGATACGGGATGGGGGGATGGATACGGGATGGGGGGGATGGATACGGGATGGGGGGATGGATACGGGATGGGGGGGATGGATACGGGATGGGGGGGATGGATACGGGATGGGGGGATGCAGGGATGGATACGGGATGCAATAGAGGGATGTGAGGATGGATACGGGATGGGGGGGATGGATACGGGATGTGGGGATGGATACGGGATGCAATAGGGGGGTGCGATGAGGGATGCAGGGACAGACGGACAGGATAAGGAGGGATGCAGGGATGGACCAAGAGCCAGGCACCGGGACGCGCTGGAGGATGCAGGGGACGGGATGCAGGGACAGGGACGGGATGCGATGGGAGGGATGCGGGGACCGACACGGGGGGGATGCAGGGATGGACACGGGATGCGATGGACGGGATGCAGGGACCAACGAGGGATGCAGTGGGAGGGATGCAGGGATGGACAAGGGATGCGATGGGGGGGATGCAGGGACCGGACAAGGGATGCGATGGGGGGGATGCAGGGACCGGACTCGGGCGGGATGCGGCGGCCGAGGCCGAGGAGCCGAAGGGTCCGGCGGAAGGAGCCGAGCGGAGCCGAAGCGGCCGCGGACGGAGCCGAGGGACGGACGCGAGGACGCAGCGAGCGGCGGCGGCGGCCTCGGGGGGGGGGGGGGGGGGGGAGGGGGGGGGATGGGCCCCCCTTTCCCCTCCCCCCCCCCCGTGGCCACTGTGATGTCACGGAGCGACCGCGCTTAAAGGGACAGCGCGTTTCCCCCCCCCTCCCCCCTTCTCTGCCCCTCCCCCATCATAGGGACCCCCCTCAATGACCCCCCCCCAATTTGGGGACCCCCCCAATAGAGGGACACACACCCACCCCAAGCCTTATAACAGGGACAGAGGAACATGGGGACCCCCCCATAAAGTGGGGCTCAGGACATTGGGGACCCCTCCCCACCCCCCCGCCCAAACCGGGGTCCCAGCACTTAGGGGGCCCCCCCCCCATAAAAGGACGCAGGGTTTTGGGGTGTCCCGTCCCCCCCCCAGAGACGAACGGACTCAGGCACCGGCTCATTCGCTTTTATACTTAAAGGCATTGGGGGGGGGGGCGAAATTGGGGGTCTCGAGGGGGGTTGGGGGGGTCCGTGGTGTGCAAAGCGCCCCCCAGCTCATCCGAGGGGGGTCACAGCTGGGGGGGGGCTAAAAGGGGGGGCCCCAAACGATGGGGACCCCCTCAAATCAGTGCTGCGCTATAGGAGGAATGGGGGAATTAAAGGGGGGACCCCCCAAATAATGCCCCCCCCAAATCAGTGCTATCCTATAGTAGCAAATGGGGGGGGAAATAAAAAGGGACACCCCAAAAAAAGGGGGACCCCCTAAATCAGTGCTGTCTTATAGTAGAGATAGGGGGCAACTAAAGGGGGGACCCCCAAATGAAGGGGGGGCCCAAATCGTGGGGGAGGGGTCTTAAGTACGGGGGGAGCCCTCAAATCAGTGCTGCGCAATAGGGGGGAATAAGGGGGGGAACCCCCAAATCACTGCTGTGCTATAGTGGAGATGGCGGGGGGAATAAAGGGGGACCCCCCCAAATCACTGCTGTGCTATAGTGGGGATGGGGGAGAATAAAGGGGGGGACCACCTAAATTGGGGGGGGAGGTCTTAACTAGAGGGGACACCCCCCAAATCACTGATGTCCTATAGTGGGGAATGGGGGGTGGGGCATAAAGGAGGGGTCCCCCGATATAAGGGGCCCCCCAAATCAGTGCTGCGCTCTAATAGGGAATGAGGGGGGGGTGGGACTTAAGGGGGGACCCCCCCAAAAGGGGTCGGGGGGGGGGAGGGGGTGCGGATCTCAGACGAGGGAGCCGGGGGGGGCCGGGAGGCGCAGGTCGGGGTGCACGAAGTCGGGGTTGGTGTAGGTGAACCCCGCGAAGTCGCCTTGGTCCAGCCCGGCCAGGACCAGCTGGTCCGGGGGGGTGAGCGCGGGGGGGGCCCGCGTGAAGAACTTGTCAAAGTTCTCCCCATTGCGCCCACACTGGGGGGGGGGCACCCCAAAAATGAACCCAACCCCCCCCCCACAACGGAATGGGAGCGTCCAGAGAGGGGACCCCCGAAACAGCCCACGAATGGAGGCAGCCGAAGAGGGGGCATCAGGGATGGAGCCCCCCCAGTAATGGACGCATCCCAGTGATGGAACCCCCCCAAAAATGGATCCATCCCAGTGATGGACACCCCCAATAATGGACCCCCCAAATAATGGACCCATCCCAATATTGAACCCCCCCAATAATGGACCCCCCCAGCAATGGACCCATCCCAGTGATGAACCCCCCCCCCCCCAATAATGGACCCATCAAAGCAATGGACCCATCCCATTAATGACACCCCCCCCCATGATGGACCCCCCCCAATAACGGACCCCCCCCCAGTAATGGACCCACCCCAATAATGGACCCCCCCAATAATGGACCCATCCCAATAACGGACCCCCCCCCAATAATGGACCCATTCCAGTAATGGACCCATGCCAATAATGGCCCCCCCCAATAATGGACCCATCCAAAGAGGGGACCCCAAAACAGGGACCCCAAAAATGGACACCCACCCCCCCCCCACAACCAGGGACCCCCAAACCGCCCCCCATTGAACCACATGGACACAGCCCCCCCCCATCCAGGCACACCCGGGGGGGTCCCCCCATTTCGGGGGGGGGGGGGGGGCAGACAGGGACAGACAAAGGAGCCCGGGGGGGGGCACACGGACAGACACAGAGAGAGAAGAGCCGGGTTTAGTGCTGAGCCCCAGGGCAATGGGGGCACTATGGGGAGCTATGGGGAGCTATGGGGTGCTATGGGGGTGATAAGGGGGTACTATGGGGCGCTATAGGGGTGCTATAGGGCGATATGGGAGTGCTATGGGTGTATCTAAGGAGCGCTATGGGGGTGCTGTGGGGAGATATGGGGGCGCTATGGGGCACTATGGGGGTGTCTATGAAGTGCTATGGGGTGTTACGGGGCTCTGTGGGGCACTACGGAGGTGCTATGGGGGGGTTTACAATGGTGTTAGGGGTGCTATGGGGCACTTTACAATGGTGTTAGGGGTGCTATGGGGCACTATAGGGCATCTAGGTGGCACTATGGGGCACTATGGGGTATCTAGGGGGCACTATGGTGCACTATGGGGTATCTAGGGGGCGCTATGGGGCACTATGGGGTATCTAAGGGGCGCTATGGGGCACTATGAGGTATCTAGGGGGCACTATGGGCCACTATGAGGTATCTAGGGGGTGCTACGGGGCACCATGGGGTATCTAGGGGGAGCTATGGGGCGCTATGAGGGAACTTTGGGGCACTATGGGGGTGTCTATGGGGCTCTATGGGGTCCCCATGAGGCGCTGTGGGGCTCTATGGGGCGCTATGGGGCACTATGAGGGAACTTTGGGGCACTATGGGGCACTACAGGGGTGTCTATGGGGCACTATGGGGTCCCCCTGAGGTGCTGTGGGGCTCTATGGGGCGCTATGGGGTCCCCATGAGGTGCTGTGGGGCTCTATGGGGCGCTATGGGGTCCCTATGGGGCGCTATGGGGCACTGTGGGGCGCTGTGGGGCACTATGGGGCACTATGGGGTCCCTATGGGGCGCTGTGGGGCTCTATGGGGCGCTATGGGGTCCCTATGGGGCGCTATGGGGCACTGTGGGGCGCTGTGGGGCACTATGGGGCACTATGGGGTCCCTATGGGGCGCTGTGGGGCTCTATGGGGCGCTATGGGGTCCCTATGGGGCGCTGTGGGGCACTCACCGGCTGTGGGGTGAAGGGGGGGGGCAGCTCCAGCCGCTCGAGGCGCTCCCAGTCCGTGCGCCGGAAGAAGGGGTGGGAGCGGACGTCCTGCTCCCCCCCCGGCCCCGCTCCCAGACGCTTCCCAGGGTGCTTGGTCAGGAACTGGGGGGCAGCGGCGGTCACGGACCCATAGAGACCCATAGAGACCCCATAGAGACCCATAGAGACCCATAGAGACCCATAGAGACCCATAGAGACCCATAGAGACCCCAAAGATAGCCATAGAGACCATAGAGACCCATAGAGACCCATAGAGACCCCAAAGATAGCCATAGAGACCATAGAGACCCATAGAGACCCATAGAGACCCCAAAGATAGCCATAGAGACCATAGAGACCCATAGAGACCCATAGAGACCCCAAAGATAGCCATAGAGACCCATAGAGACCCATAGAGACCCCAAAGATAGCCATAGAGACCATAGAGACCCATAGAGACCCATGGAGGCCATAGAGACCCATAGAGACCCATAGAGACCCCATAGAGACCCATAGAGACCCATAGAGACCCATAGAGACCCCATAGAGACCCATAGAGACCCATAGAGACCCCATAGAGACCCATAGAGACCCATAGAGACCCATAGAGACCCCATAGAGACCCATAGAGACCCATAGAGACCCATAGAGACCAAAGAGACCCATAGAGACCAAAGAGACCCATAGAGACCCACAGAGACCCATAGAGACCATAGAGACCATAGACCCAAAGGGACCCATAGAGGCCATAGAGACCCATATTGACCCACAGAGACCCATAGAGACCAAAGAGACCCATAGAGACCCCATAGAGACCCATAGGGGCCCATAGAGACCATAGAGACCCATATGAACCATAGAGACCCATAGAGACCATAGGGACCATAGGAACCATAGAGACCCAGAGAGACCCAGAGCACACAAACCCAAACCCAAACCCTAACCCTAACCCTAACCCTAACCCTAACCCTAACCCTAACCCTAACCCTGACCCTGACCCTGACCCCAACCCTGACCCTGACCCTAACCCTCAGCCCCCCAAAACCAGCCCAAACCGCCCCACGTCAGCCCCAAATGAGCCAAAATCCCGGGAATTGAGCCCAAACGCACCTGCCCGGCCAGCATCTCGTAGAGCAGCACCCCAAAGGACCACCAGTCCACGGACTTGCCATAGGGCTGGTACGCGATGATCTGGGGGGAGGCAAAGGGGGGGTCCTGGGGCACGGGGACCCCAAACCCCCCCCCCATGGTGGGGTCCCCCCCATTGCGCTGGGTGATCCCCATTGCTGGGTCACCCCCATCTCCCTGTAGTGCCCCATAGCCCCCATAGCACCATAGCCCCATACTCCCCATAGCCTCCATAACCCCCATATCCCCCTTAGCGCCCCATGGGCCCCATAGCCCCCATATCCTCCATAGCCCCCGTTGCCCCCATACCCCCCACAGTGCCCCATAGCCCCATATACCCCATAGCGCCCCATAGCGCCCCATGGGCCCAATAGCCCCCATGTCCCCCATAACCCCCATTGCCCCCATACCCCCCACAGTGTCCCATAGCCCCATATACCCCATCGCGCCCCTTAGCGCCCCATGGGCCCAATAGCCCCCATATCCCCCATTACCCCCATTGCCCCCATACCCCCCATAGAGCCCCATAGCCCCCATTGCCCCCATAACCCCCTTATCCCCCATCGCGCCCCATAGTGCCCCATAGCCCCCATATCCCCCCATCGTGCCTCATAGTGCCCCATATCCCCCATTGCGCCCCATATCCCTCATCACGCCCCATAGCCCCCATAGTGCCCCATAGCCCCCCACAGCTCCCCATAGCCCCCCACAGCTCCCCATAGCCCCCCACAGCGCCCCATAGCGCCCCATAGCCCCCATAGTGCCCCATAGCCCCCATAGCGCCCCATAGCCCCCATAGTGCCCCATAGCCCCCCACAGCTCCCCATAGCCCCCCACAGCGCCCCATAGCCCCCCACAGCTCCCCATAGCCCCCATAGCCCCCCACAGCGCCCCATAGCCCCCCACAGCGCCCCACAGCGCCCCATAGCCCCCCACAGCGCCCCATAGCCCCCCACAGCGCCCCATAGCGCCCCATAGCCCCCATAGTGCCCCATATCCCCCATAGCGCCCCATAGCCCCCATAGTGCCCCATAGCCCCCCACAGCTCCCCTCCCCATAGCGCCCCATAGCCCCCCACAGCGCCCCATAGCCCCCCACAGCGCCCCATAGCGCCCCATAGCGCCCCCATAGCGCCCCATATCCCCGATCGCGCCCCATAGCCCCCATAGTGCCCCATAGCCCCCCACAGCTCCCCACAGCGCCCCACAGCGCCCCATAGCGGCACCTCGGGGGCGATGTAGTCGGGGGTGCCGCAGAAGGTCCTGGTGGTGGCTCCCGGGAACATGTTCTCCTTGCACATCCCGAAGTCCGTGATCTTCACGTGACCCTGGGCGTCCAGCATCACGTTATCCAGCTTCAGATCCCTTGGGGGGGTGGGGGGGGGGGTGAGCAATGGGGCGGCCCCATGGCGTGGTTGGGGGGAGCCCCCATAAAGGCGGGGTTCGGGGGGGGGGGGGGGCACCGGTAGATGATGCCTTGGTTGTGGAGGAAGAAGAGGCCGATGGCGATCTCGGCTGCGTAGAACCTGGGGGGCAAGGGGGGGCATTGGGGTGAATGGGGGGCATTGGGGTGAATGGGGGGCATTGGGGTGAATGGGGGGGTATTGGGGTGAATGGGGGGCATTGGGGTGAATGGGGGGGTATTGGGGTGAATGGGGGGCATTGGGGTGAATGGGGGGCGTTGGTATGGGGGGGCATTGGGGTGAATGGGGGGTATTGGGGTGAATGGGGGGTATTGGTATGGGGGGGCATTTGTATGGGGGGGGCATTGGGGTGAATGGGGGGCATTGGGGTGAATGGGGGGCATTGGGGTGAATGGGGGGTATTGGTATGGGGGGGCATTGGGGTGAATGGGGGGGTATTGGGGTGAATGGGGGGGTATTGGTGTGAATGGGGGGCATTGGTATGGGGGGGCATTGGGGTGAATGGGGGGTATTGGGGTGAATGGGGGGGTATTGGGGTGCATGGGGGGTATTGGGGTGAATGGGGGGTATTGGGGTGCATGGGGGTATTGGGGTGAATGGGGGGCATTGGTATGGGGGGGCATTGGGGTGAATGGGGGGCATATTGGGGTGAATGGGGGGTATTGGGGTGAATGGGGGGGTATTGGGGTGAATGGGGGGCATTGGTATGGGGGGGCATTGGGGTGAATGGGGGGCATATTGGGGTGAATGGGGGGTATTGGTATGGGGGGGCATTGGGGTGAATGGGGGGGTATTGGGGTGAATGGGGGGGTATTGGGGTGAATGGGGGGCGTTGGTATGGGGGGACATTGCTATTGGGGTGTCATTGTTATGGGGGGGCATTGGGGTGAATGGGGGCATATTGGGGTGAATGGGGGGCGTTGGTATGGGGGGCATTGGGGTGAATGGGGGGGTATTGGGGTGAATGGGGGGTATTGGTATGGGGGGCATTGGGGTGAATGGGGGGTATTGGGGTGAATGGGGGGCATTGGTATGGGGGTGCATTGGGGTGAATGGGGGGGTATTGGTATTGGGGGGCATTGGGGTGAATGGGGGGTATTGGGGTGAATGGGGGGGTATTGGGGTGAATGTATTCGGGTATGGGGGGCATTGGGGTGAATGGGGGGGTATTGGGGTGAATGGGGGCATTGGGGTGAATGGGGGGGTATTGGGGTGAATGGGGGGTATTGGGGTGAATGGGGGGCATTGGGGTGAATGGGGGGGTATTGGGGTGAATGGGGGGCATTGGTATGGGGGGGCATTGGGGTGAATGGGGGGGTATTGGGGTGAATGGGGGGCATTGGTATGGGGGGGCATTGGGGTGAATGGGGGGTATTGGTATGGGGGGGCATTGGGGTGAATGGGGGGGTATTGTGGTGAATGGGGGGCATTGGTATGGGGGGGCATTGGGGTGAATGGGGGGGCATTGGGGTGAATGGGGGGGTATTGGGGTGAATGGGGGGCGTTGGTATGGGGGAGGCATTTGTATGGGGGGCATTGGGGTGAATGGGGAGGGGGAAATGGGAGGTTGGGGGGCGAGCAAGAGGGGTTGGTAGTCCCAATGGGGGGGGGGGGCACGTGGGGGGTATCTGGGGTCAATGGGGGGACACTTGGGGGTCAAGCGGGGGCATTTGGGGTCAATGGGAGGCACTTAAGGGGTCAATGCAGGGATACTTGGGGGTCAATGGGGGGCACTTGGGGGTCAATGGGAGGACTCTTGGGGGTCAATGGGGAGTATTCAGGGGTCAACGGGGGTATCTGGGTCAATGGGGGGCACTTAAGGGTTAATGGGGGTATTTGAGGGGTATTTGGGGCCAATGGGGGGGTATTTGGGGGTCAATGGGGGGCATTTGGGGGTCAATGGGGGCATTTGGGGGTCAATGGGGGCACTTAAGGGTTAATGGGGGTATTTGAGGGGTATTTGGGGGTCAATGGGGGGCATTTGGGGGTCAATGGGGGCATTTGGGGGTCAATGGGGGCACTTACGGGTTAATGGGGGTATTTGAGGGGTATTTGGGGCCAATGGGGGGGTATTTGGGGGTCAATGGGGGCACTTAAGGGTTAATGGGGGTATTTGAGGGGTATTTGAGGGTCAATGGGGGGCATTTGGGGGTCAATGGGGGCATTTGGGGGTCAATGGGGGCACTTACGGGTTAGTGGGGGTATTTGAGGGGTATTTGGGGGTCAATGGGGGCATTTGGGGGTCAATGGGGGCACTTACGGGTTAGTGGGGGTATTTGAGGGGTATTTGGGGGTCAATGGGGGCATTTGGGGGTCACCACGTATTCCATGGAAATAGAGGCGGTCCTGGGGGGCGTGGCCAGCGGGACACGTGCATAGCTCCCCCATCAGCTCTTTGAACTTGCCGACCTGCTGGATGTGGTACATGAGGTCCCCGCCGGTGACGTATTCCATGACGAAATAGAGGCGGTCCTGGGGGGCGTGGCCAGCGGGGACACGTGACCCATAGCTCCCCCATCAGCCCCCCATTACCCACCTATAACCCCATAGCCACCATAGGCCCCCATAAACCCATAGCCCTCACAGAGCCCATAGAACCCTAGCCCCATAGCCCCCCATAGCCCCCATAGCCCCCCATAGCCCGATAGCCCCACAGCCACCATCGCCCCGTAGCCCCCCATAGCCCCATAACGCCCCATTACAACCCCATACCCCCCATAGCCACACAGCCCCCATTACAGCCCCACAGCTCGCATTACACCCCCACAGCCCCATTACCCCCATTACACCTCCATAGCCCCATAGCCCCCATAGCCCCCTACCCTCCATAGCCCCCATTACACCCCTATACCCCCATAGAGTCCCATTACCCACCATCACCCCCATTAGCCCCCACACCCCCCCATAGTGCCCCATAAAGCCCCATTACCCCCAAAGCCCCCCATCAACCCCCAGAGACCCCCATAGCGCCCCATTAGCCCCCCCAGCCCCCATACCCCCATCACCCCCCATACCCCCACTACCCCCCGTTAACCCCCATCACCCCCTATGTCCCCCATAGCCCCACAGACCCCATTACCCCCCATTGCCCCCCATAGTCCCCTATCCCCCACAGCCCCATAGCCCCTCATCATGCCCCATTACCCCCTATGTCCCCCATACCCCCCATAACCCATTACCCTCCATACCCCCCATAGTGCCCCATAGCCCCAATACCCCCATACGCCCCCATAGTGCCCCATAGCCCCAATACCCCCATACGCCCCCATCACCCCCCATAGCCCCATAGTGCCCCATAGCCCCAATACCCCCATATGCCCCCATAGTGCCCCATACCCCCAATACCCCCATACGCCCCCATAGTGCCCCATAGCCCCAATACCCCCATACGCCCCCATCACCCCCCATAGCCCCATAGTGCCCCATAGCCCCAATACCCCCATACACCCCCATAGTGCCCCATAGCCCCAATACCCCCATACTCCCCCATCACCCCCCATCGCCCCATAGCGCCCCATAGCCCCAATACCCCCATACTCCCCCATCACCCCCCATAGCCCCATAGCGCCCCATTCCCCTCACCGCGGTCTGGAAGGTGGAGTGCAGGTGGGTCAGGAAGTGGGGCCGGGGCCCCAGGGCCAGCACACGCCGCTCCACCATGGTGCAGGCGGCGTCGTCGTCCTGGACCACCACGTCCTTCTTGAGGATCTTGATGGCGAAGAGCTCGGCCGTGCCGCGCCGCTCTGCCAGCATCACCTGCGCGCACCGCGCCCGTTTTCAGCCTCCCCGCGCCCGTTTTCAGCCTCCCCGCGCCCGTTTTGCGGCGTTTTCGTGCTCCCCGCAACCGTTTTCGGGGTCCCCCAGCCCGTTTCTGGGGTTCTTTTGGGCGGTTCTGTGCTCCCCGCGCCCGTTTTCAGCCTCGCCGCGCCCGTTTTCAGCCTCCCCGCGCCCGTTTTGCGGCGTTTTCGCGCCCCCCGCAGCCATCGCCGGGGTCGTTTGGGGCGTTTCTGTGCTCCCCGTGCCCGTTTCTGCCTTCCTCGCGCCCGCCTCGGGGGGGTTCGTGACCGGTTCGGGCTCCCCACGCCCGTTTTTGGGCGTTTTCGTGCTCCCCGCAACCGTTTTCGGGGTCCCCCGGCCCGTTTCTGGGGTTCTTTTGGGCGGTTTTGTGCTCCCCGTGACCGTTTTTGGGCGCTTCAGGGCTCCCTGCAACCGTTTTCGGGGTCCTGTTTTGCGTTTTCGGGGTCCCCGTGCCCGTTTTGGGGGTTCTTTTGAGCGGTTTTGTGTTCCCCATGCCCGTTTTTGGGTTCCTCTTGCCCGTTTTGTGGGGTTTTGTGACCGGTTTTGGGGTCCCCGAGCCCGTTTTTGGGGTCTCCAAGCCCATTTTCACGGTCCCTTTGCCTGTTTCTGCCCCCCCCGGGCGGTTTTTGGGGTCCCTTTGACAGTTTTTGGGGTCCCGAAGCCCGTTGATGGGGTCTCCAAGCCCATTTTTGGGGTCTCTGCCCGTTTTCGGGATCCCCGCAACAGTTTTCGGGGTCCTTTGGGGCATTTTTGTGCTCCCCATGCCCGTTTTTATGTTCCTCATATCCATTTTGGTATTCCTCTTGCTGATCTGGGGGGATTTTGTGCCCGTTTGGGGTCCTGTTGGCCGTTTTAGGGGCTCCCCGCAAGTTTTTCGGGTCGCTTTGACTGGTTTTGGGGTTGCTTTGACCGTTTTTGGGGTCCCCAAGCCCATTTTCAGGTCCCTTTGCCCGTTTTCAGGTCCCTTTGCCCGTTTTGGGGTCCCTTTGCCCATTTTGGGGTCCCTTTGCCCGTTTTCAGGTCCCTTTGCCCGTTTTCGGGGTCCCTTTGCCCGTTTCGGGGTCCCTTTGCCCGTTTTCAGGTCCCTTTGCCCGTTTCAGGGTCCCTTTGCCCGTTTTCAGGTCCCTTTGCCCGTTTTCAGGTCCCTTTGCCCGTTTTCAGGTCCCTTTGCCCGTTTTCAGGTCCCTTTGCCCATTTTCGGGGTCCCTTTGCCCGTTTCGGGGTCCCTTTGCCCGTTTTGGGGTCCCCAAGCCCATTTTTGGGGTCCCTTTGCCCATTTTTGGGGTCCCCAAGCCCATTTTTGGGGTCCCTTTGCCCATTTTTGGGGTCCCTTTGCCCGTTTCGGGGTCCCTTTGCCCGTTTTCAGGTCCCTTTGCCCGTTTTGGGGTCCCTTTGCCCGTTTTGGGGTCCCTTTGCCCATTTTGGGGTCCCCAAGCCCATTTTTGGGTTCCCTTTGCCCGTTTCGGGGTCCCTTTGCCCGTTTTGGGGTCCCTTTGCCCGTTTTCGGGGTCCCTTTGCCCATTTTGGGGTCCCCAAGCCCATTTTTGGGGTCCCTTTGCCCATTTTTGGGTTCCCTTTGCCCATTTTCGGGGTCCTTTTCCCCGTTTTCAGGTCCCTTTGCCCGTTTTCAGGTCCCTTTGCCTGTTTTGGGGTCCCTTTGCCCGTTTCGGGGTCCTTTTCCCTGTTTTCAGGTCCCTTTGCCCGTTTTCGGGGTCCCTTTGCCCGTTTTCGGGGTCCCTTTGCCCGTTTCGGGGTCCTTTTCCCCGTTTTCAGGTCCCACCTTGCCGAAGCTGCCCTTGCCCAGCACCATCAGGAAGGTGAAGTCCCCGAGCCGCGAGCGCCCGGAGCTGAAGAAGCCGCGTTTGGGGTCTGTGGGGCTGGGGGACGGCGACGGCGCCGGAGAAGGGCCCGGCCCCCTGCGCACTTTCTGCGGGGTCAGCGGGGGGCACGGGGTCAGCATGGGGTCACGGGTGAGGGGTTACCGAGGGGTCAAAGGTAACCAGGGGTTACCATTACCTCGTAGAGCTCCAATGGGTAGTTACAAGCCTGGAAGAGATGGGGCGGGGGGGGGGGTGTCAGTGGGGCTCAATGGGGCCCATAGGGCTCAAGGGGGCTCAAGGGGGTTCAAGGGGGCTCAAGGGGTGGGTCATCACCTCGAACTTGGGCCGGAGGCCACAGTCGTCGGTGTCGGCCACGGGGACGTTGTAGTATTCGCCCTCCTCCTGGTTCAGCAGCTTGAACCTGGCAATGGGGCAATGGGGGCAATGGGGGCAATGGGGGAAATGGGGACAATGGGGACAATGGGGGCAATGGGGGCAATGGGGTAATGCGGATCAGTGGGGATCAATGGGCTCAATAGGGGTCAATGGGTCTTAGTAGCAGTCAGTGGGCTCAATGGGGCTCAATGGGGGTCAGTGGGTACCAATGGGGTTCAGTGGGGCTCAACAGGCTCAATGGGGGTCAATGGGGTGTAATGGAGTCAATGGGACTCAATGGGGCTCAATGGGGGGCAATGGGGCTCAGTGGGGTCAATGGCTGTCAATGGGGACCAACGGGTATCAATGGGTATCAATGGGTGTCAATAGGGCTCAACTGGGGTCAATGGGTGTCAATAGGGCTCAATGGGGATCAATGGGTGTCAATGGGGCTCAATGGTGGTCAATGGGGCTCAATGGGGGTCAGTGGAGGTCAGTTGGGCTCAATGGGGGTCACTGGGGGTCAATGGGGGTCAGTGGGGCTCAGTGGGGGTCAGTGGGGGTCAATGGGGCTCAATGGGGGTCAATGGGGCTCAATGGGTGTCAATGGGGCTCAATGGGGCTCAATGGGGCTCAATGGGTGTCAATAGGGCTCAATGGGGGTCAATGGGTGTCAATGGGGCTCAATGGGGGTCAATGGGTGTCAATAGGGCTCAGTGGGGGTCAATGGGTGTCAATGGGGCTCAATGGGTGTCAATGGGGCTCAATGGGTGTCAATGGTGTCAGTGGGGCTCAATGGGTGTCAATGGGGCTCAATGGGGACCAATGGGTGTCAATAGGGCTCAGTGGGGGTCAATGGGTGTCAATGGGGCTCAATGGGTGTCAATGGGGCTCAATGGGTGTCAATGGTGTCAGTGGGGCTCCATGGGGTCCCCCCGTGCTCACCACCCGTCCACGTGGCCCTTGAGCAGCTCAGCCACCCCAAAGCTCATGGCGCCCATGAAGTCGTTGCGGGAGGTGCGGTCCCAGTCCCACACCTCCACCGAGAGGCGGCGCTCGGAGTCCCCGGGGCGCAGCGTGCTGGGGGCAGGGGGGTCAGGGGTGGGTCATGGGTGGGGCAAGGGTGGGGCATGGGTGGGGCATGGGTGGGACATGGGTGGGACATGGGTGGGGCATGTGTGGGGCATGGGTGGGGCATGGGTGGGACATGGGTGGGACATGGGTGGGGCATGGGTGGGTCATGGGTGGGACATGGGTGGGGCATGGGTGGGGCATGGGTGGGACATGGGTGGGACATGGGTGGGTCATGGGTGGGTCATGGGTGGGGCATGGGTGGGACATGGGTGGGGCATGGGTGGGACATGGGTGGGTCATGGGTGGGGCATGGGTGGGTCATGGGTGGGGCATGGGTGGGACATGGGTGGGGCATGGGTGGGACATGGGTGGGGCATGGGTGGGACATGGGTGGGGCGTGGGTGGGGCATGGGTGGGGCATGGGTGGGTCATGGGTGGGTCATGGGTGGGACATGGGTGGGGCATGGGTGGGGCATGGGAGGGGCATGGGTGGGGCATGGATGGGACATGGATGGGACATGGGTGGGGCATGGATGGGACATGGATGGGACATGGGTGGGGCATGGGTGGGACATGGGTGGGTCATGGGTGGGTCATGGGTGGGGCATGGGTGGGACATGGGTGGGGCATGGGTGGGGCATGGATGGGACATGTATGACACTCATATGTCACACGTATAACACTCATATGGCACACAAGACACACATGACACACACACGACACACGCAAAACATGTACGACACACTTATGACATATACATACAACACACTCCTGACACACATAAGACACACATGACACATGTATGACCCATATATATGACACACGTACGACACACAACACACATACGACACACGTATTACACATGTATGACACATTCATATGACACACGTACGACACACAACACACGGCACACGTATGACACGATACAGATATGACACACGTATGACACATTCATATGACACACAACACACGCATGACACACATGACACACACTTGACACAGGACACATACGATACACGCATGACACACACATGACACACGTGACCCACACTTGACACAGGACACATGCGATACACGCATGACACACACATGACACACGTATGTTGCCCCGCTCACAAGAGGAAGGCCTCGTTCCACACGGGGTTGAGCGTGGCCTTCACCGTCCGCGTCTTCTGCTTGGAGAGGTTCTTGGGGTCCGGGATCAGCTTCAGCTTCACGTAGGGATCCGAGAGCCCGTTGGGATCCATCGGGATCAGGTTCCGCGCCTCCCCCACTGCGGGCGGGGGGGGGAAGGGAACCAGGAGTGGGTCTGGGGGTCCGGGGGGGGGTTGGGGGGCGTTTCAGGGGTGTTTTGGGGCTTTTTGGGTGTTTCAGGGGCAGTTTTTGGGTGTTTCAGGGGCAGGTTTGGGTGTTTCAGGGGCAGTTTGGGTGTTTCAGGGGCAGGTTTGGGTGTTTCAGGGGCGGTTTGGGGTATTTCATATTCGTTTCGGGGGCTTCAGGGGTGTTTTGGGGAGATTTTGGGTGTTTCAGGGGCAGTTTTAGGTGTTTTGGAGGCATTTTTTGGTGTTTCAGGTACATTTTGGGGTGTTTCAGGGCGGTTTGGACCATTTTGGTGTGCTTCAGAGGCATTTCTGGGTGTTCCAGGGGTGTTTTGGGACAGTTTTGGGGTGTTTCAGCGCCGGTTTTGCGTGTTTCAGTTGCTTTTTGGGGGTTTGTAGGGCGTTTCAGGTGCGATTTTGCATGTTTCAGAGGTGTTTCTGAGTGTTTCAGAGGCGTTTCTGGGCGTTTCAGGGGTGTTTTGGGGCATTTTTGGGTGTTTCAGAGGCATTTTGAGGCGTTTTTGGGTGTTTCCTGTGGGTTTTGGGGTGTTTCTGGGGCGGTTTTGGGTGTTTCAGAGGCGTTTTGAGGCATTTTGGGGTGTTTCCTGGGGGTTTTGGGGTGTTTCTGGGGCGTTTTTGGGTGTTTCAGAGGCGTTTTGAGGCATTTTGGGGTGTTTCCTGGGCGTTTTGGGGTGTTTCTGGGGCGGTTTTGGGTGTTTCAAAGGCGTTTTGAGGCATTTTGGGGTGTTTCCTGGGCGTTTTGGGGTGTTTCTGGGGCGTTTTTGGGTGTTTCAGAGGCGTTTTGAGGCGTTTTTGGGTGTTTCTGGGCCCCTGCTCCGTTACCGGTGACGTGCAGCTGCTCCCCCGGCAGCGCCTGGATGCGGAGCTGCAGGCGGCCGCGGCGCTCGGTGTGGTCGACGCCGCAGAGGCTGGGCACGCTCTGCACGCAGCGCTTGTGCACGTTCATCTCGCAGCCTGCACCCATTGAACCCCATTGAACCCCATTGAACCCCATTGAACCCCATTGAGCACCCATTGAACCCCATTGAACCCCATTGAACCCCATTGAGCACCCATTGAACCCCATTGAACCCCATTGAACCCCATTGAGCACCCACTGAACCCCACTGAACCCCACTGAACCCCATTGAACCCCATTGAGCACCCATTGAACCCCACTGAACCCCATTGAACCCCATTGAGCACCCATTGAACCCCATTGAGCAACCAGTGAACCCCATTGAGCAACCAGTGAACCCCAATGAACCCCATTGAGCACCCATTGAACCCCATTGAGCACCCATTGAACCCCATTGAACCCCATTGAACCCCATTGAGCACCCATTGAGAGCCCATTGAGCACCCATTGAACCCCATTGAGCAACCAGTGAACCCCAATGAACCCCATTGAGCACCCATTGAACCCCATTGAGCACCCATTGAACCCCACTGAACCCCATTGAACCCCATTGAACCCCACTGAACCCCATTGAGCACCCATTGAGAACCCATTGAGAGCCCATTGAACCCCATTAAACCCCTTGAACCCCATTGAGCACCCATTGAGCACCCATTGAACCCCATTGAACCCCATTAAACCCCTTGAACCCCATTGAGCACCCACTGAACCGCATTGTGCACCCACTGAACTCCATTAGGCACCCATTACCCCATTACCCCCATTGCCCCCCATAGCGCATCCATGGCTCACAGGAGCACTTCATGCCCTGGTGCACCAGCCCATAGAGCAGGGAGCCGCAGTGGTCGCAGAAGGTGGGGCTGCTGTAGCTGTGCAGCCGGAAGCGGTGCTTGTTCCGGGGGTCCTGGGGGATGCACATGGTGGTCCACATGCACCCCCCCAACAGGCACCGGTTACCCCCCATAGGAACACAATTACCCCCCCAACAGGCACCGATTACCCCCCATAGGAACACAATTACCCCCCAACAGGCACCGATTACCCCCCATAGGAACACAATTACCCCCATAGGAACACAATTACCCCCCCAGACACCAATTACCCCCCATAGGAACACAATTACGCCCCCAGACACCAATTACCCCCATAGGAACACAATTACCCCCCCAGACACCAATGACCCCCATAGGAACACAATTACCCCCCAACAGGCACCAATTACCCCCCATAGGAACACAATTACGCCCCCAGACACCAATTACCCCCATAGGAACACAATTACCCCCCACAGGAACACAATTACCCCCCATAGGAACACAATTACCACCCTCAGGAACACAATTAACACACATAGACACCAATTACCCCATAGAAACCCAATTACCACCATAGACACCAATTACCCCCCATAGGAACACAATTACCACCCACAGGAACCCAATTACCCCCATAGACACCAATTACCCCCCATAGGAACACAATTACCCCCCCAGACACCAATTACCCCC